GTCGGGCGGCACTAACGGAACCACCAAAGTTTCAGACTGGCTTCAGTGCTGGGCGACGTGCTGTAGTCAAACATTTGATCTTCATTGCTATCATCAAAATCAAGCATTTTCCTTGTTCCGGACGTTGCAGCGATTAAAGGTAGTGTTGGGTGTAATCTATTTAAATTTAAATCAGTTAATTTGAGTTGACGTTAGCCCAGTGAAGAAACCTTAGTGAAGAAACGCACCCAATCCCGTTAGTGCAGCGTTGGTGAGAATCAAACTGACAAACACTAGGTAGCAGTTTGCTGTCTCCCTGTGGCTCCGACTGCAAGTCAAAGATGGCCACCTGACCAGTGTCGTTGCCAGTTGCCAGAAGACTCTGCTCAAAGTTTATATCATAGACAAATCTTTGGTTTGTGCTGCAGCTTCTCTTGACAACGTGAAGAATAGTTCCGTAATTGCGCAAGTCCCAGCATAGAATTTCATCATCCTGCAGAAAAATGTGGTTAAACAAAGACTACAGTCTGAAGAAAAGGAAGCTTACCTTTCTGGCACCGCTGTACAGTTGATTACCATCAGGTGAGATCAATAAGTGGGTGACACCTCCTTGCTGTCCCTGTAAGGTGGCAATGTTTTCCAGAGAGGTGCTGTCGTAGAGGCCGATCAATTTGCTAAATGACCCTGATGCAAACATTTTGTTTCCGCTAGCAATGCAAGACACGATCCCATTAGGCACATCGTCTGTTAATCGAAATGTATTAATTTCCGTTGTTCAACAGACAACGTATGCTGTGGTGTTTACTTACAAATGTACTCGCCAGAGTTTCCGGGCTTGGAGATGTCAAACAAACAAATAAATTTTTCGTATCCAGCGATGATACGAGAGCCATCAGGCGTAAATTGAATACTTCTCGATGAGACAAGCTCGTAGACATTATTAAGTGCAGTATATGAGGCTGATATTTTGCCCGAATAAGCATCCCAGAGATGAATTGGCACGTCTCGACTTGCACAAAGTAAACTTGAATGAAAAAATGCTTTTGTTTACAATTGAGCCTTAGAACGCATGAATAACAAACTTACAAACAAGTTGCTGGATCAGCTGAACTCATCGACGGATACCAACAATAATCGTAAATTATTTGTGCTTCTCTAAATTCAAGATCAGGAACCTGAAAACGTAAAAACAGCGTATCAGTTTAAAAAAACAAAATTGATATAAATCTTAAAGATGACAAATGTTCAGATTGAGGTGCGATTTCATAGGTTTTATTTAAAAGGAGCACCCTTTTTGAGTTAAGAAATATTTTAAGTTTTTTTTGAAGATAAATTGAGAAAGTTGTATGGCCTTTTAGAAGAAAAAGTCACAGAGTAATAACTTTACTGAAACTTGTTCTCTTCTGAGCCATTGTCAAATTCGCCTTTAGATCATCATTAAAGTGACAAATATTAACAACAAACTAAGATATAAACTTACGATTTCTTGAGCAGCACTTGAATCATCTTCGGTTTGAGAGTAACACGTGCTGGGAAGATTAAAAATGCGAATTCGGTGATCATCGCTGTTGGTGGCAATGCAAGTGCCATCCGGAGACCACTTGCAGCCCTTTAGACAGTTCCCGAATAAGGGTCTGTCTTGAGTGAACGTTTTCTCGGCATAGTTGATCAGATAGGGCGTCTTCTTAACCCAATCCATTTCACCGACTCTCTGTTGTTTTGATCAACCGTTTTGGCACATGTGTTTCTCTGCCAAGCCGGCTGACTCGAAGTCGCTGTCACAGCAAAGCAGCTGGCTATTTTGACCATAGGATTCAGATTCTTGACACTTCATTTGGGGATTCAGTGAACTTTATTTAAAATGCGGGACAAAATACATCAACAATTGGCTGGGTGGGAAAAGGTAGGTGAGGTGTATAAAAAGACAAACAGGTGAACAGGCATTTAAATAGTTGTAATGGTAAAAATTATTGTCAAAAAATGCTAAACAATAAAAGGCGAATGAGATGAACGACGTCAAATGCGAAACAGGTTGGCTCAATTTGCACAGGGAAAATAAATAATGCAAACGATGTATATAGTATATTTACAAAGGGTAAGGATGAGTTTTATGTGTCGCCTTTTAATCGTAATCTGGCAAAATCTTCAAAAATAATATCATCGTTATCATTTTCGTCATCGCTAGAGAGGGAGACGCATAGTTAGGCAGTTAGTGTTTGTACATTGCCGTGAATTGAAATTACCTGAGTTGAATTAAACTTTGAACCTGAGAATCGTTGCTTGAATCTTGTAGCTTGCACGTGCTTACTGTTTTGTCGCTCATCTTGACCTCTTCGGGTTTGGGATGCATTAAAATAAAAGGCAGTTCAGCGACCAGATCACCGCCCAAGGGGCCCAAGCAAAGCTTTACTTTGACTTTGTACTGCACAATAATACCTAAGTTTTCTTTCTGCAAGTTCTCGTTGATCCTGCAAGTGATGGATGGGTAAGTCACCAAAAAGAGAAACACTAGAGCACATTGGTAATGTGGAGTCTTACACTGTGGAGGAGGCCAGATTTGTGTCTTCATGCTTCAACTGGCCGTCCAGCGCTAGTCCTCTCTTGTCTTTGTTGTTCGCCAGCATCGGCTTGAGGTAGTACACTTTAGAGAGTGTGAATCCCGGTCCCACCGGGCAGCCGTCTCTGCAAGGAATCGACAGTAGGTTAGTAGTGTCAGGGTAGGGCAACCGGTGATCACCTACTCGCTCTCCACTTCAGCCACGGAGCATTTGTACTGTGCGGTAGAGAAGAGACATATATCGGCGAACTGGCGGACGGACACTTTGATCTTCTTAACAGTTCGATTGGAGTTGTTGGCAATGTGCACATTCACCACTATATCCTCCCCGTGGTGGTACACCTGCGAGAGTTGGCGAGTGATGAAGAATTAGAATAAATAATAAATAAAGAGCGGTATATAGCAGGCGGAGGCCAGGACAGGCCAATGCCGATGCCAGGAAGACTTACCTCTTTGTCAAGTGATGCCTCGAGGTGCAGTTTGTTGGGCGACATGACAAAGTCCTTGCTCACCTCGACACATGGCTGGTCGCCCTGTTTGCCCGGAGCGTAGACCACCTTGCGAATGGCCAGGCGGACCGAGTTTCGCTTGTGCGGCTTCTCCTCCTGCGTCTCGGCGACGTACGCCTTCAGTTCGTAGTCCACTCCACACGGCTTGCCCGTGTCGCCCTGCGCCGGTTGCAGCGTCACCGAGGCGGGACAGTGCGGCGGAAGCTCAAAGTAAAAAGGATATGCATTAGCACCCAACTTTTTGATCAGCCGCTCCTGTAGCCTGGTCAGCTGGCGAGAGTTGTTGTCCTCCTTTATGGGGAATATTTGTTCATTCGAGAGAAAGAGATCCTTGCGAAAGGTGAGGCCCAGGACGTCCAAGTCTTCGCGGCCATAGCGAAATGCGGCTAGCACATGTCCGTAGACCTTTCGGTTTTTTATATAGTCGGGATCAATGAGAACGACACCATCTGCAGAGGAGAAACAATTCCTTAGTACAAATATTTGCTTTGTGATTGTTGCGATTAAATTGGTGAATAGATAAATTCTATGGGAATATGGCCATAAAATTATTTAAAACAATTGCAAATTACCGATCGGGTCGACGTGTGTCAAGTGATCAACGAAATCACGCTTTCCTAAGTAAACAGTGATCTGAAAACAAACACACAGATAAGCAAAATTCCTGCATTGTTCGCCATTTCAGTGCTTACCTTTCCATTGGGAGAGCTCTTTTTGAAAACTCTGCTTTTAATGAAAGTGTAAAGCATTAAGGTTAGTTTTATTAAATACACATTGCAAATACATATTGCCCTGAGCAACATCGCAGCGGTGCACCAGGTGCAATCGCTTTTAAATGTCGCGCTGTTTTAAACACTCTGAAAGAGATAAAAGAAAACATTAACAAAATAGGACTTGCCTTGTGCCCGACTTTTTATTATCGTCGATGTTGTTCAGATTATCCATTTAAAAGCCAGCTAGTAACACAGTGTAAAACACACACTCACAAAGCACAATATAAAAGTGTGTGTAAATAAAGGCTTTGATTGAGGATGAGTAGGCGCAACTACTAACGTAGAGGCGGCTGAACAGGAAACGACCAGGGCCAGTGTCGCATTGGACAGCGTTCTTTCACTGGTTACCGTTGTGATCTTCGAAAGCAGGTGATAATGAGGTAGTTGAGGGGAGAAATGGAAGTGTATGCTGAGAAGACGAGGATTGCAGTCCAGTCGAGTGCACTAGTGACCATTGATGGTGCGAAGAGGATCGGTGGTGCACGCCTTGGGAATGGCCACTTGCAGTGCACTTCCAGTTCCAGTGCAGGAGAACATTGCCACGCACAAGGTGCCAGAGAGACACTGGTCGGGAATGGTGCGGCGTAACAGTGCTTAGGTGATCAGTCTGATCAGAAATGCCAAAATGAGCATCGATGTGATCCTGCACGGGCGGCCAACTACAAGATATGGCATAGAGCAGCAGAAGCAGCAGCAGCACCAGCAGCAGACTCTACTGCCACTGCTACACAATGTGTGCACTGAGGCGATGGCAAAAGAAAGCGATATACGACGGTACTAACTCACAGCTACTATGAAAAGCGCCTTCCCGCGTTCTCAGCCACTGTATTCTGCCCGACAGCATCCACGGGAACAGCATCCGCGGATCCCCGATCGAGGCAGATGGGCGTAAAGGGGAAAGAGGTAAGGGTGCTCAGTCCTCAGGGAAAAGGCACAAAGGAGAACTGAAGGCACGGGCACTGGCACAGGCGAGGCTCCAAGTGAAAGGGTAGCTGACGGGCTGGGCCGTCCTCATGGCGGCAATCACTGAGCAGCAACTCCTTCTTCTCCGGTCACATTTACCGCCGAACCAGGTGATGGAGATGAGGCTACTACTTCTGATTCACTCAAATAGGCGAGTGCTAGTGATTTGGTTGAAAAACTGAGAGTTTAAATGGGTGCAANGCGAGTGCTAGTGATTTGGTTGAAAAACTGAGAGTTTAAAAATGGGTGCAAAATTGAGCGGATCAGTGCCCTAGTCAATGGGTGGTAGCTAACTCGTTAGCATCCACGCCGGTGCACTCAGTCACAGTACCTTTGTTTCCCCAAGTAAGCANAATTGAGCGGACCAGTGCCCTAGTCAATGGGTGGTAGCTAACTCGTTAGCATCCACGCCGGTGCACTCAGTCACAGTACCTTTGTTTCCACAAGTAAGCACACACAGAGGGAGAGAGAGAGAGACCGGACGACGACAGAGAGAGAGAGAGAGAGAGAGAGAGTGTGTGCCTTCACCAGGAAGGCCATTATCAACAGCATTGGCGCTGGCCTTGCCAACGCTGACGCCGGTTCCGATCAGCCACGGTGCATTTCGTCAACAAATGAGCGCTGTTGCTGTAAAAGTATCATGTCTCGACGGCGTCGGTGTGTTTATTCGAATGGTACAAAAATGGCGTCTATTACAAACAAATGCAAAGAACTGACTGGCACTGCAGTCCTGGGTGGCTGTGGCTGCACCCTTGCCGCTGATGAGCTGTTCACTAGCGAGTCTACACGCACCAGCGTTGTACATTGCCGTGAGCTGTGTGTGTGAGTGTGACCAGCAAGAAGTGTTGTACATGTTCGTTCAGCAGATGCACCCAGACTCTTCGGTTCTGGTCTCGGCTTCCAGCGGCAAAGGCTTCAGTGGGATGGCTGTGAAAAGACAACAAAAAAGCAAATGATGAAGGGGCAGCCAAGTGGCAGACGCAGAGTGGGGGAGCAAGTGTGGGTGGAAACTGTCTGTTTGTGCATCCATATCGGGCTCGGGGGACATGCTAGGCCAAACCGGGAGGGAAGTCAAGTGCCGGGGAGGAAAATGAATATATAGAGTCGTCTGACTTCCATGACCAGGACTCGCGCAAAAGTTTATAAAAGAAAACGGAATAGTGAATAGAGCAAGGCATTGTAAATAAATAGGTATATGGCAATTTAAAAATAATTAAAATTAATAATTCTCAGCATAAGAAGAGGAAGAAGAAAATAGATGCCAATGTAAATAGCGGAAAGTTAAAAGGAAGGCAAAAGCGAAGCAATCATTTAACAACTGCATCGGCCTTCTTGGTTCAAAGGCTCAGAGGAGGAGTCCTTTAGGTCAACTTCTACGACTAGACGGAATCAAAGGGGGAAACAAGTAAATTGATTAGGATCATGCATGCAGTGCAGCGGGGACATGTGCGAGCGCAGTTAGGCGATACATACTGTCTTCCTTGGCTTTCTCATTGGTCTCCATGCCAGGTAATGCTGCAGCTACTCGACGAAACAGCTGCAGAAAAAAGGATAGTAATCAAGTCTGTGCAAAACAGGGAGAAACGAAGGAAGTCGTACTTGTTTGACGTTGTAGCCGGATTTGGCGCTTGTCTCGATGAACATAACATTCAGCTCTTTGGCCTTCTTTTCGCCATCCTCCGTAAGGATTTGCCGCTTATCTTGCAGGTCGGTTTTATTGCCTACCAACATGATGATGACGTCGTTTCCACGCTCGGTTCGGACATCGTCAATCCATTTGGAAGTTTGGTGGAATGAATTTGCATCTTAAAGAAAGCAATAAATCAAAGGTTCAGATGTTAAAGGGCAGTGCTATTTACTTGTTATGTCATAGACGACCACGGCTACGGTGGAGTCGCGAATGTAGCTTGGGATCAAACTGCGGAATCTTTCTTGGCCCGCTGTGTCCCAAAGCTGTAGTCTGACCTGAAAGATGAAAAGGTGAGTGAGAGTGCCTTATTAAAGAAGTGAAAGCTTACCGTTCGGTCTTCGAGGTACATCGTTTTGGAAAGAAAGTCGATGCCGATAGTTGCTTGATAGGTGTTGTCAAATGTATCGTACATGAAGCGTGTAATAAGAGACGTTTTGCCCACTGTGATCGTAGGAGATAGAAACGCAACGTGTTAATGAGCTATAAAGGTGTGGTTAGGATGTTAAGAAGTACCGCTTTGCTCGCCGAGGAAGACGAGTTTGAATTTGCGCAGGGGATTGCCGAAATCACCCGAAGTAGACATGTTGATTATTGCTTGGTGGTGTAAAGTGGTACAGTAGAAAGTGGAGAAGTATAAAAGTAGTAAACTCTATTTGGGCACTGGGATGAGGTGAAGAGGTGGGCCGGTGAAGGGGGCGAAGGCAGACCGGGTGGGAGTGTTGAGCACGCAAGTCAGGCCGGGCCAGGAGCAGGAGCCGCACAGTGAGAGACCAGAGCAGAAGGCAGGCAACACAGCAGCGGAGCGGCTTTCAAAATGAATCACTTGGGCGAGTGCTTTGGCGCAACTCAGAAACGATGACAACTCAGCAGTACAAGCAGCACTGAGGCAGGCAGGCAGTGTTTTGCCGAGCAGGCTGCTCTGTCCAAATTGGCGTGTCTACATGTAAAGAAGAACTACAGCGGGCGCTGATGTTCACCACTCCACTGGTCAATGCTTTCTTCGAGAGGTCATCATCATCTGAAGAGAGAGATCTCCTAGACCAAGATCACCTCTGCCGCTGTGCACAATTTCTGTTTGCCCCTGCTAAAAACTGCGGTCAACAACAGGCTTCGCCCCCGCTTTGCTGTTTCACTTGATCAGTGCCGCCCAGTCCAACGTGGTCTCGACGAGCTGGTTTGTTCTTCAGCTTCAAATTGCACAGCGGCTACCTCCAGCAAGCTAGTCAGTCGCCGTAAAGCGTGCTCGTTACCTGGCAGCAATTTGTTGCGATTCGTGGAGCCTCCAAGTTGGATGATTTTCTCGCTGGCTTACGTCGTTTGTGATTGTTGTACAGTTGTTTGTTGGTAGTCGGTTTCGTTGGTGATTTAAATCTCCACTCTTCTTACTCATCACTAAACATTGCGCCGCTCAACCGTCAACATCGCTTTACCTGTACACCGAAACATGGCGCAGGACAGCAACAACAACTGCACCGCCAAAGGGGACGCAAAGGTGGTGAAGGATGCGGTCAAAAAGGGAGTGAAAGACAGTAGCAAACCAGTTGACAAGCCGAGGAGAGTAAAGAAAAAAGAAGTTGCCCCTGATTATATGACTCGTGTAAGTGTATATTTCTTCAAAACAATGATGTATTTTGAACGTTTTTCTCTAAAACTTTAACTTACAATTTCAGGTTGTCGTTCGTCAGCTACCGCCAACAATGACTGAAGAGCAATTCCTCAATGACATTTCTCCTTTGCCCGAATACAGCGAGTTCTACTTTGTCAATGGCGATCTCAGTTTGGGCGAATTTGCATTCTCCAGAGCTTATTTTAAATTTAAAAATTTTGAAGAAATGCTCATCTTTAAAGACAAGTTTGATGATTATGTCTTTTTAGACTCTAAAGGCAATGAGTTCCCGGCGATTGTCGAGTTTGCGCCACTGCAAAAAATGCCCCGTCCAAGTAGCGAAGCTAAAAAGACCAAGCAAGACATCAAGATGAACACTATTGAGAGCGATCCAGAATACATTGCGTTTGTTGAAGAGCTGAAAAATACCAACTCCACTAGTCCTCCTCCTTACTCAGCGGATGCTTTGCTGGAGGAAATTGAAAACAATAAACTGTCAAAGGACAACGATTCTCAGTTGACGCCACTGCTCGAGTTTATTGGCAAAAAACGAGAAGAGAAACTTAAAATGAAAGAGGATAAGAAGCGCAAAAAAGACGAAACCAAGAAGAAGAAGGCGATCACCAAAGAAGTGAAAGCAAAGGAACAGGCGACCAAACAGAAAGCCAACAACAAACCGCCAGCACCAGTTAAACCGCCAGCACAAGAGGTCAAATATGTGATCAAAGTGAAAAGTGAAACGAAAGTGAACCCTCAAAAAGCAGCCGACGACTCAGCTAAAGTCAAGCCAGCAGCTCAAAAGCCTTCCAACACTTCAAACTTAGATAACAAAAAAGATAAAGCCAAGCCTAGTACAGAGGAGAAAAGTGCTAAACAAAAGGAGCCCAATACTAAACCGGCTCGCATTCGAAACAAAGATCGTCCCGCCAGAGAAATCTATCGACCTGGCTCAAAGCCAAAGACGCAACAGCAACCGCAGCAGCAGCAGCAGCAGCAGCCTCAACAACATCCTCCTTCACAGCCACCGCCTACTGCTTCATCTTCTGCAGTCGGTACCAACGCTGGCCCCTCTGAAAGTTCAACTGCTGGAAAAGCTAAAGTAGCTGCTTCGTCAGACCAAGGAGAGAAACCAGTACAAAATACAAACACCACCACCACCACCATCAACACCACTAAAAGTAGCAACACTCAGTCGAAACCGTTCAAGAAGTACCGCGTCTTCACCAGAACCAAAAACTAATTCTTTCCATTTGTAATGGTATCGAGCATTTCTGTTAAGCTGTAAGTTTACACATTAAAAAGTAACAGTACATTCATTGACGGCTACTTGGCAACAGATAAGCAAATATCCTATATATTGGGGAATTGATTAAAAAGAGTAGTATAATTCACTATAATTCTTATAAAGTGGCAAACCTAGCGACTCTGGCACCTCTCTTACTCGTCAAGACGGCAGTACGCTCGATACAGCAGCAGTGGTGACTTGACATTGCTGATGATCAGCGAAGTGGACGCCGGAATGAAGCCCACGTAGCCGGCAAAGAGCTTGTCCTCCTGGCAGCTGGCCTCGCCCTGGATGGCAATCAGTATGGATCCACTCTCCTTGGCTTCGAGCTTGTACTCAAACGACGGCACGATATCCTCCTGACGCACCTCGATGGCGTCCACCACAAACTCAGGCACCGGGACAATGTAGGAGCGTGTAAACTTGTCGACGACGATGGGCTGCAGGCACTGGTCACTCGGTGCTCGGCTGTTGTACGTCAGCATGCTGCACAACGTCTTCACGTCCTTGAACTTGGGCGTGAGACCGGCACGGACGACATTGTCAGAGCAGGCCATGCACTCAATGCAATCTGTTTAGTGGGAAAGCATTAAAGAAACTGCTGCTGCCGCTCTTTTAGCTATCGTTTACGNTGAGACCGGCACGGACGACATTGTCAGAGCAGGCCATGCACTCGATGCAATCTGTTTAGCGGGAAAGCATTAAAGAAACCGCTGTTGATGCTATTTTCAGGACTCGTTCACACTTACCTCCTAAGATGTAGGCATGGGGTTCATCCTGGCCCAAGTAGATTGCTTCGCCTGGCTGCAGCACCACGTAGTTGAGAAAGAGAATGGCAAAGAGACCAATGTCTTCGGGGAAATCAGCGGTCAGCTTGAGAAACAACTTGCGTTGAGTTTCCAGTTCAGCACTAGTCTCCGCCTGACTAGCCCAGCGAGCCTTCAATGAGGCCAAGTTGTCCTTGACCAGCTCATCAGAGGCGTTCATCAGCGCAGAAAACAGCTCCTGCAGAGATTGTTTGTTCTTCTCACTTCCTAGGTACTTGGCGGCAGCCTCAGCTCCGACGGTGCTCTTGAACTCGGGCACATTGTTGAGGAGAAACTCAATCTCAGAGTGCGGTCTAAAGCCACAGAATGCCTCAAATTCCGTTATTGCAATTGCCAGCTCGGGCTTGTGATTAGAGTCCGGGTAGTGAAAGGGATCATCGTGGTGGAGCTTTTCCGCAAGGGCCTTGTTAGGGTGGGCCTGAATGGAGAGCGCCGTCCGCACGGATAATACTTTGAAGAGAAAGGGCAAATTGCGCCCGTACTTGGTCACAATCTTTATGTTCCCCACGTACTCCGGGTAGGTGCTGAGGCAGTTCAGCAGTGTGACGTTGTTGTGATTTGGACCGGTGCCCATGACCACCGAAGGGCCGCTGGGATGGGTGCCCATCCATAGCTGTGTGCGGAATACACAAACTCATTAGCATTCAACTCTCAGATATGTTTTCAGAACAATTTTAACTAATGTCATTGAAATGGCACTTACCTCGGCAAATGGAGTTTCATTATCCACTTCATAAGATGGCATTTGACTTTTCACTATTCTTGAGACTGCCGAATCGAGGCCTCGCTTGCCCCAGTCATACTTCTTGACACAGCAACGAAGGGGAATCACTAGAAGAGATAGGAGGCAAGATTAAGATGATAGTTCTTAATCTAGTGATACTTACTTTTTGTTGATGAGTCTCGAGGCTTTGCTAGTGACGAAATGGGCGAGCAATGGCAATGTTCAGCTCACTGACTGCCGCAAGTGTGCTTCTGCTAACACTGCCGAATTTCNTGCTCCTCTCTCCCTGTATTTGAGTTGTCACAACTCTTTCCCAGAGGGCGCTTTGAAAAATTGTCGATGGCGAATGGCAATGTTCAGCTCACTGACTGCCGCAAGTGTGCTTCTGCTAACACTGCCGAATTTCCCTCTCACTCTTTCACTCTATAGCTCCTAGCGCCAGGAGAGCCAGGCGCCAGACTGGCATGCGTACCGTCATCAAGGAAAATGCACTATGCCCACTAGACACCCTCTTTGGGTCGACAGCAAGCGGAAAGATCGGCCGTTACACAGTGCAACTGGCTTCGGTGCAGTAAGGGCACCACTTTACGTGCGTAGTGTACCCAAATCAGTGTTCTAATGTGGACGAATCAATATCGATGTCGCGAATCTTGACGCCGCTTCTACACAACGCTCCAGGCACAAACAGTACTGGTACATGATAAGTGGAGGCCATCGAGGTAGCTGCTCGACTCTATCGGAGGGGAGAAAGTGCTGGCTATCACGATTATGCATTCTCTCATCGCCACTACTAATGCTAAGCAAATGACATTGAAATGCGGCTTGCCGGTGGCGACAATGACATTCGTCGCTACTGGTGTTGCTCGGCGGACGCGTTATTTCACACCGGAATCAGTGCTCTTTATCTGACAGATACTTCTGTAGACAGACGATTTAGGCAACAGGGAGCAGACAGTGCTTTATTGTCCGCTTCACTACAATGAGATTCATAACGGGCTATTGTCAAACAAAGCAATTCTCGCTTGCTTCGGTGTAGGGCTGAGCCAACTTTGTGATCAAAGTCACATGCTTTAGAATTTTGGCCAGTGGATGCGCTGTTTTTAGCTCTATCTTTTGAAAAAAATGTTGTCAAGTTTAAAAAGTTAAAAGATTTGATTTAACTTTGAAATGGCAATTCTGAAAGTTGAGTTCATGAAAAACTGCTTTGAGTGCCCTAGTGGATTACGTTATTTGTGATGTACAAATTGCGAATCGGCAAAATATTTACAATTTGACAGACAGTGTTTAGAAACACCTATGTAAAGTCGACACTGTTTTGGAGTTACATCAACAAGAGAATGGTATTCTCAATCGACCAGCAGTTGTGCAAGCATCTTCAGCACTTGGATCAACATGACACTGAAAGTATTAGAAACGGTCTTTAATATTGAATTCAGACTAAAGACTTTTTTGTAGCCCTTAATCAAGTGTGCCAAATCGCCTTTGATTCTCTCAAAAATGGACTCGAGAATATGGAAGCACTTCCAAATGAAGGTATGTTGATGTTTTGAGAAAAGCAAGCAATAAAAACAATACAAGGCTTTTATTTGCAGATTTAAAAGAACTGGTTAAGGGGACGATGGGTCTAATTATACAAGCCATCAAATTCGGGGTATGTAGTGAAAAGCTTATAAACACATCTTAAAAACTTATCAAGCTAATTTGCAATTTACAGCTGCTAGACAATGAGCTGAATGATTTTCTTTGCAGCATGCAATGTAACGGTGAATACACAAGTAAATTGGTGCAGTTTTACCAACTGTACAAGCCCGGTTTATCAAAGATACTGCTCATCCACAGTGCAACCAGCTCTTACAAACGACATGTTCAAGTTCACTGGAAGATTGAAGTAAAGGTCGCTTCAAAGAACATTCGTGAACAGTTTGTTCCTCAAATTATTCTAAGGTTTCAAACCAAAAACAGTCAATATCAAACCGAGTATTTTAGTATGCAGTGCACACCCGCCGACATCTTTCACATTGTTGACAAGCTGGGGGATGCTTTGAGAAGAAATAATTCAAACATTGGCAAAAGTGGCGTTCAAAGGATAGCAAACTGAAGCCCTTTTGTATCAGATTTAAAAATAAACAAAAAATTTCTGCTTTATCAAATGAATCAAATAGCGTATTTTTATTATACTGATTCAGTCAGTGGGTACAAAACATTGTGGCCATCATTTGCAGGAAATCATCAAGGGCCAAAGTGTCCACTACTTGTTGACTAGTGTTGTTGACCAGAAGGAAGCAAAGGAAAAAAATGAAATGTTTATTTCACGGTGCAAGTGGTGCTGCGCCTTTGCAGGAAGCGGCAGGGCTGAGTGGCTGCCAAAAAAGTGCCTAGCTGGCGATGCTGCTGAGCTCAGTGCTGCTTGAGGGCAGAAGAGCTGAAGCACGACACACACGCACACACGCACGCACACACCCCATTCACAGTCGACTCGTGCCCTTGCCGGGGGCGCCTCGAACCAGGTCTGCCTCGTCCTCCTCGCTGGAGCGAGTGCTCCTGGGCGATGACTGCCGACCTCGGGAGTGGGAGTACCTACTGGAGATGTCGCTGGCCAGGTCGGCCAGTGACTTGTTCGAGGAGAGAAGGCTGCTCAGCGCCGTGGTCGCACCACCGCCACTCGACTTGGGCTCGTAGAAGAGACTCTTCGGGGCTGGCCGACTGCTGCTGAGAATGCTGCTACTGCTGCTGCTGCTGCTGAAGAACTCACTGGTGTGCTCGTTCAGTCGAGTCATTGATCGGCGCCGTTGTCGGCACGTGTATGAGCTCCTCGAGTCCTCGTTGAATCGGGAGTAGTAGCTCTTGCGGAGAATTCGCTCCTGGACGGTCTCCGACTTGAAGTCCGCATCCTGACCGGCACCGTCCGCCATTGCCGGTGCTGCGACATCGCTCTCCTTGCGCAGGCGTTCGCCCGCCGCCACCGTGGGCACCATCTCCCTGGAGTGCTGTCTTCGGAAGCTGACGCTGGTCTCACTCACCGAGTGGTTGACGTTCTGTGGCCCCCCAACCGGACTTGGCTCCCTCCTAATGCTGGCGGCTCCTTTCAATCACAGGGTGTACAAGCAACACATTAGCAAATGGCAGCTGGGCAAGCGACAAGTAGCTGGCAACACACTGGCAACACACTGGCAACACTGGAAGCACTGCTGCACTGCTAAGCTAAGCACTAAAGTGTGGCACTAAAGTGGCACTAAGCTGAATAGTTACCTGGACGATCGAGAGCGTTCACATCACTGCTCGACTCTTGGGCGGATGACGGCTGGACGATGTCTTCAGTGGAGGAGGACTCGGACAGACGCCTACTTACCAGGTTCTTGTAGCCAAAGGTGCGAAGCTGCTCCAACAGAGAGGACGTCTCTGCGATTTTGATGCCGCTGTCGGCGCTGGTGCTCACCGCACTGTCCGACTGGTCACTGCTCAGCTTGATGGGGCCCCTCTGGGTGAGCACTGCTGGCCCACTGCCGCTGCCCGGCTCGAGATTGTCCAGACTGAAGCGCACCTCTATTTCATTGTCCCTCGGCACAGCGTTGCTGCTCACTGAGGCGCAGTTTTCCAGCGATGCGGCACTCTTCTCCATCATCGTCTCACTGGTGTTCGACATTTGCACTCGCTTGAAGACGTTGCTAGCACTATCATTGGAGGTCATAGTGCGCACGTATCGGCGAAAGTTCTTCGGTCCGATAGTGCCATAGGTCTCCAGGTCTTTGCCGTCATCCGAGTGCAGCCATTGCTCCACCCGTCTTCGGGTGCTGTCCTGCCGATTCTGTTCATCAGCCCCACTACTACCACCAAGGCGACTATCAAATGAATCATTGTCTCGGTGAAGGGAACTTTCTCGCGAGAATCGACTGCCAAATTTAGGCAAGTTAGGATAGGTTATCTTCGACTGCTCCCGTCTGGTGGACAGAGGTGACATCATGTCATCGAAACGTTTATCAAAGCTCGACTTGATAGAGCTGGAGAACTTTGACATGGACGTCATCATGGAGCGCTGAGAGTCAAAGATGGACGAACTTCCCGGAGAATCGTCCTCTTTTTCAGTTCTAAATGCACTCTTTCGATTTTTGGAGAACCAGTCATTGGTGCTGCGCTCGAGACTCTCCGCTCTGGATCGTAGACTGGTTCGCTCATTGAAACGGCGAGAGGAGTTTTCAAAGATGTTGTTGAACAGGCTTTTGACGTTTGAAAAAACATCCCCAGTCCAGTGATCATCAAAGATGTCATCGAAAATGTCCGTAGAGCCTGATGAGCTCTGGCTGTCTGATCGCTGAATATTAACGACGTTGTTTGAATTTCCGTCATTGTTGATAATGTGCGTCACCATGCTCTTCTTCTCCACTCGAGTCGTGTAGCCGTCCTTTCCCTCGTGCGAGTAAAACTTGCCGCTCTCCTTGATGCAGGCGCCGTCTTTAGTGAATGTCACCTTTTTGTAGCTTCTCGTTATGGGGGACGGGTTGAAGGACGCCTCGGAAATGAGGCCACCGCCCGCTTTGCCGGCAGTCTCTGCCACCACTTTACTTGTTGGGGTGTTCTGAATGATGGACACGTTAGAGTTTTCAATTGACACCAGCGGGGTAGTCTCGCCAGTCTCCGAGCTAGTGACCGAAACCTGCTGCTTTTCCATTAGTTTGGCTCTAGCAATGTTCTTTTTGATAATCTGCTTTGCCAGTGACTTGTCCTCCTCACTGATCGGCGTTGACGGCTTTGATTGATATGGACTTTCTGATTCTTCCTTTGCTTTGATTGGGCTCTCAGTCGGCAAAGCATGTACTGCTTGATTTACAGTTTCTCTCTTTGTCTTACTGGCTTCCTGGAGGTTTAAGCTCAAACTTCTGCCAGTGTACTTTTTCAAGTCTCTCACTTTTTTGTCTTTGTTCATCTCGGTAGCGCTGGACAGAGAGTCTCGCCGTTTAAGCTGAGAACCCGAATCAACTGAGCACCTGCGTTCAATGACCTTCTTTGCCTCTGAAACTTTTAAACCGACCGGAATAAAGGGAGCTTTTTTAACATCTTCAACGGGACTGCCTGCAGTGTCCTGGCCTGTACTGTCCCAGATTTTGGGGATCGACAGTCTGCCCGGCCGTTTGGGAGAAGTCATTGAACTAGAGCTGGCGTTGCTTACTTTTGAAATGCTTTCACTCGGACTAACTTGTTTTTCAGTGGTTTCATTGTTCGGCTCAAGTGCAGGTTCGACACTCTTTTCATTTGGTGCAAGAGATGCATCTGCAGTTGATTCACCGGCAACTTCTTGACTTGATTCCTGTGGCTCACTGGGCACTGCAGGCGGACTTTCTTTTTGAGGCTCCTGTTGCGAATCACCTGACTGCTCAGTGGTCTGGTCTTTTGGCAAAGTGACACTATCGTTTTCTGCTCGTTTTGTCTTTTTCTTTGACTTTTTAGTGTCATCCATTTTAGTCGTACTGGCACTGAATGAAGTGTTGTCCACTGTTCGTTTGTTGGACTCTGCCACCTTGTTGGACTGTGCCTCCTCAGACTGTTCGTTTGATGGAACGGCAGCTCCTTCTCCGGCGACAACTTCCTCTTTAAGTTTTTCATTCGAATCAACCTTTGGAGAGGTAGGTGCCAATGCCAGCAGCATGTCGCACCGGACTGGTGTCAAGTTGGCCAGATCTTCAGCCACTTGCAGCAGTGAGTGCTCAAAATCTTGATTCACCCACTCGTCGGTGCAGATGTCAATGATGGTGGCTCGGTCACGAGGATTCGGCATTAGCAACTTGCGAATAAGGTCAGAACCAGCTTAAATAATGCAAAATGGTTATGATCACTAATCAGTTTGGTTAAGAAAATAAAAAACTGACCTGATTTATTTGGTGGCTCATAGTAGCTCGACTCGGAAATTTGCTTCACCAGCTTCTTAAAGTTGCTTCCATCGAAGGGCATTGCTCCGTAGACGAGAGTGTAGAGCAAGACACCCAGCGACCAGCAATCGACTTCTGGCCCAAAATAAGGCAAACCACGCACAATTTCCGGAGAAGCGTACAGTGGACTACCACAGAAAGTTTGAAGAAAGTGCTTCTCATCAAAAACATTTGATAGTCCAAAGTCGGCAATCTGTTTTAAAATTGCATTAGTAATTTTAGAAAGAGGAGCAAAAACAAAGCACTTACCTTTGCATTTCCTTTTTCATCGAGCAGTATGTTTTCTAGTTTCAAGTCTCGGTGACAGATTTTGTTCTAGAGAAAAGTAAACGGTTAAAGTCTTGATACAGTATTTCAGAACCGACCTTGTGGCAATAGTAGATGGCGGTGGCGATTTGCCGGAAGAGTCGTCGTGCATCCGAATCTGAGAGGACCTTANAAACGGTTAAAGTCTTGATACAGTATTTCAGTACCGACCTTGTGGCAATAGTAGATGGCGGTGGCGATTTGCCGGAAGAGTCGTCGTGCATCCGAATCTGAGAGGACCTTGTGATAGGACACGTAGTCGTACAGTTCACCACCGCTAGCATATTGCATCACCAGGACTATCTTGTCTTTGTTTTCAAATACTAATAAAAATAAAACTTGTAATTTGTAGTTAAACAAACTTGTAAAAGACGGTACCTTCATAAATGTGAATAATGTGCGGATGGTGGATTGAGGACATGATCTGAATCTCGCGTCGAATGCGAATGAGATCTTGACTGTTTTCCACCTTTGACTTTTTAATAGTTTTGATAGCAACCTAATCAAAACGGAACAGTTTAGCTGAAACACAATTTGAAATGAATGGTATTAACTCACTTCCTGCCCGGTTTCATTGTTGATGGCCAGTTGTACTTTTCCGTAAGTTCCTTGTCCTAATTTGCGCACCACCTGAAAACGCTGCTTCAGTCGGTGTGTTTTGCGCTTCTTCATCTCTGGATTCACATTCTCTTCGGCCGACGAGGACGCCTTGATGACATCTGCCTGGTGGTGGGTGCTTGCGTCCGCCATGCTTTACCGCAGTATATTAGGGCGGATGGACTCTTGCTGGTCGGTTATTGGCTTGTTAGAATCAATAGAGAGCAAGATTTATTGAAAAGCAAAGACATCACAACAAGAAGGCTCCAGCACTGCAGGCTGCACAAAAAGGAGAGGCGGATGACTGGCAAAGTAACTTGTAGCTCGGTAACTCCGATTCTGTTCATTCGAATTCATTCTGGATGCATCACCGAGGTGGGCTATTAATAGGCACTCAGCTCGGCGTGATGTGAGCCCACCAAATTAGCATCGCTCCTTCCTCCTCCTCCGTACGACCAGTATTCTGCTGACTCCCCCTTTTTCCCTTCGCATCTGGTCCGACGGCTGCAAAAGTGGGCTATGGTGCGAAGAGTCGGCAGTGGAAGCAAGGGGAAGCAATGAGCAATGCGACGAGAATAATGGCGGATTCATCGACATCCAGTGCGGTGCTGCTACTGCACACACTTCAGAGCGCTGCTGCCTACTCCTGCAAAAGCACAAGTCGCTGACGCCGAGGCGTTCAACAGATTGCAGAACTGCTGTTGGACTGGCAATTAGACTTGCAATTTGGAGAGTCATCAAAAGGCGCCCGAGCAGTGTTCGCCGAGTGCCAAGGTGGCCATTGCTGCTGACAAACACACCGCACCCAACCGCAAACACACCACTGTCTCTCTTTAGGGTGCTGGCTTCATTGAATTACACACAGCACACACACACACTCTCACTGGGTAAGCCTTTCGCTCAAATATGCGACACGAAACGGAAAAGTAGTGCAACAACTGCCAAACTGGTAAAAGAACAAGTGCAATTCAGCGTGTATTTATTGTCACAATTNTCTCTTTAGGGTGCTGGCTTCATTGAATTACACACAGCACACACACACACACTCCTACTGGGTAAGCCTTTCGCGNGCCATTGCTGCTGACAAACACACCGCACCCAACCGCAAACACACCACTGTCTCTCTTTAGGGTGCTGGCTTCATTGAATTACACACAGCACACACACACACTCCTACTGGGTAAGCCTTTCGCTCAAACATGCGACACCAAACGACGGAAAAACTAGTGCAACAGGCCAAACTGGCAACAGCACCAGTGCAAGTCGGCCGACTGTGTGTTTATTGTCTCAAAGTAGCGCCTAATTGCAGTGCTTAAAGTCGGACAATTTCAAATCGACCAACTGTTTGTTCTCGATGCAGTTGTCCAAGCTTATAGTCTTGAGGAAGTTGGGGTTGGCAGCTGCTCGCTCAATCAGCCAACGGTTCCTGCAGTTCGTACACTGCATTAAATTGTGATTTAGTCGTACTACATTTCGACTGTCCTCGTGAAGCAACTTCCCAAATGCTGCCTCACTGACCCAGGCGAGTTTGTTGTGTGACAGGTCCAATTCAATGTAATGCTGTCGGGCTAGCAAATGCTTAAATGTGTCAGCGGTAAAGTGGTCGTTTCTCAGTGAGTTATTCGACAGGATAATTTGGACCGGTGAAAACTGCACCATGTCTCGATTGAACTTGAAAATCTCATCCACCTTCTCCAGACGATTGTCTGCCAAGTTGATGTGCTCAGGCTGACGGAGCACCAAAAAGATGTTTTCCGGTAAACGGCGAATTCGGTTGTGTGACAGGTTTATGTCGCGAAGCTCAAAGTTATTGTCGTACTCTGAAGTGAAAGCGCCCACTTCAACCAACTCAATTCCATTCCCACTCAGGTCAAGCCGTCGTAGATTTTTCAAGTGTGAAAAGTATGGCTTCTTTAGAGTTTTCAAGCCGACATTAGCAGCATGCAGAACTTGCAGTTGCTTCAAACCTATGAACGAGTCTGGAGGAAGCTCAGTGGTAAAATGGTTGTTTGACACATCCACCATGAACAGTTGATCCAAAGTAGCAATCGAAAAGTTGGTCAATCGATTGTTCCGCATCTTCAAGTAACTGCGAATTTGGACCGTACCGAAAACCTAAAGGTACTTTGTTAAGTAGTGGAAACTGCTGCATAGGGGCTGCTGCATACTTACCGTAGGAGTTATCGAGTTAACATTGCTGTCAAACAATTCGAGACTTTCAATGTGCTGCTGGTAATGAGGCAGGTGAGTGCTCAAATTGCGAAAGACCGCACTGAGGACAGTGTCGGTGATTCGCTGGCCCCTGCAGGAGACCTGCCTGTGATAGCATCGACAGGGCAGCACAGTGCCATCGGGAAAGGCGCATTGTTGGCCAATAGTCAGATTGACAAGGCAGCTCAGTGAAAGAAGCAAAATGGCGCCGAACATTTTCAAGCGCCAGCAGAAAGGCAATGTGAGAGCAGTGTGTGAATGCAGCGGCACTGAGATTAGACTGAGATTGACCGTGATTGCTATCAAGGAAAAGGAGAAGAAGGAAGGCTGCTGCTGCTGCAAACAAATGAACAGCTACTTTAAGGAAGACGTTCAAGCAAGTTCACATTGCCATTGTTGCAGGCACTCACTGACTACACACCACGCTAATGAGCACTTTGAAAGCACTTACGGATTCCAATAGCAGGTGCACACACATCACACACACACAAACTCGCAGAGAGTGGCACTGGCCATCACTGCTGGTACACTGCCGTACAGGGGAGAAGAGTGCGCTTAGCGAGATGTGACAGGGACAAGTGGGCAGAACCTCTTATTAGATAAAACGATGGCATAGGCTGAAGAGCAACACTGAACATAATCATGTTCTGCCACCAGAATATTACAGACTGTAAAGATCACATTTGAAATGACTTAGATCACATCAGGTTGGGGATCAGGCTAGGATGACCACTGCCACAGCCATTTGGAATTTCCCTGCGGATTGTCTTGCACACACTGGTGAAATACGTCACGCTCCTCTGGAGTCAACTTGAGAATGGTCGTGAGGACTGTGATGAGCCGTTCACGCTCGTCCAGTCCCTTGATGGTTAAAAACTGAAAGATTGATCAAAAGAAATGTTAGTTTGATAAACTGCGACAAACCAAATAAATTACCTTCATAAGAACATTTTTCAAATACTCGAGGTTGTTGGCAATGTCCATGCGGTCCACGCTTCTTTGCATGCGACGAATTTCCTCTTTTAATAAACGATTCTGTTCACTTAAAAGAGTAATACTGTTTTCGCTTTCAGATAACAACTACGTGTAAAACATTTAAAATTTTAGCAGTCGATATCAGAATGTGTTTAGAATTGGGCACTCACCTGCGTTAGGTTGTCGATGTTTGAAGAGTGGGTTGCATCGGATGATTTTGAATCTGAATAAAAAACAAATGAAATTAGCTAAAGCCAAAAGGATAAACTTGATTTAAAATACTTGAGTCAAGATTGAGGATTTCCTCAAGAAAGTTTCGTTCAGAATTGGAGTTGTTTGATTGGTAAGAAAGATTTTCTTCTTTGATTTCTTCAAATGACGTATTTGAATTTACAACAGAATTGGAATCATCAGATGTATTGCGAAAGTTAATCATTTCATCTTCTAGTTCTTTTATTCTGTTTTCGTACTTTATGCGAATACTTTCCAGCGTTTCCTGTTGTAAAAAAACATCGATGAGAATAAAATGATGATTCAAATAGAATCCTAGGATACCTGATTTTCTTCAATTATTGACTGTTTTTCTTTGCTAAACGACCCCTTTAAGAGGTCAATAGAAGTCAGTAACTTGCTCTTTTCGCTATGAAGCGCATTGAATCTGAAAACAAATTTAATCAGTTCTGTGTTCACTCAGCAACTCAAAAACTAACCTTGTTTTCAAATCATCGTAATCCTTGAGTTCGCCTTGACTCCACTGCCATTTACTGGTAATGTCATTGTTCAAAGAGCGAATCCTCTCTGCTTCGCTGGTCAGTTTATTGCATTCAAGTTTGAGAGATCGATTTTCTTCTTCTAAGCTTTCAATCTTTAGTTGAAGATTTTCAATTTTTTTGCTAAACTCAAAATTGTTGAAGTTATTATTCTCTTTGAGGACATTGGAAACACGTAGTTTGTACTCTTCAAACTTGGAACGACTGATCTCCAAATCCTCTTCGTTCAGTTTCACTTTGTTTTTAAGCTCCGAGATTGTCAGTTCAAAGTTTGACACTTTTTGAGAATGCTCTAGCTGTAAGTCGGCGTTTTTCTTTTCAAGCTGATCATTTTTACTGTTCAATTCTTCAATCAGCTGATTGCACTGGTCAATCTTTTCATTTTGAATTTGCAGCGTGTTCTCGAGCTTCTCAATTTGGGTACTTTGTTGATCACTTGTCTGCTTTAGTGCTTCGTACTGGTTCAAATGCACATTCTTCTCTTCCAGTTCTTCTTCAAGTTCTTTTATACGTGTTGTAGACTTTTTCAGCTCCTCTGACAGTTGCACAATCTGATCATTTTTCTGGGCTAATTCGTTTTTTATTTCATTTCTTTCACTTTCGCATACTTGAAAGTTGCTGCTTTTCTTTTTCTCGTTCTTGTTTTCCGTTTGCAAAACGATGATTTTGCCCTCCAACGCTTTATTCGATTCGAGAATACTATCAATTTGGGACTGCTGCTGGGCTGAGTTGCTTTGTAATTGGTCAATTTCTTCCTTCTGAGTGGCACAAGTTTCACGGCATTGATTTAATTCTAAAGTGCACTTGATCAAGTCGTTTTCAAGTGACTTGTTGGTCTTTTTGTAGAGTTCGACATCGTCTTGGACCTTATCATACTCAGCTTGAAGGCTCTGCAAAGAAGTGCAAATTATGTCAACAATCTACCCTTTACAGACTTGTTTGTTATTGAAGCAGTAACTTACATGGAAATTTTGAAATATTTGTTGATACGACTTTGATTGAAACTTTCCAAGATCAGACTTGAGCTTTTCTATCTCTGAATCTTTAGATGCAATCTACAAAAAAATCAGTTTGATTAGCAAAGAAAACATAAATTCAGCAGTTTTTCAACCGACCTGTTCTTGTAGCTGAGTGCGCTCATTTCTTAAGCTCACAACAAACTTTTTAAATTTGACTAACTTTTGCTCTAACTGATAAATTTGGTCTTTTTCAGGTAAACTCTCAGGTGATTCAAGGGGATCCATGTCATCATTTTTTAATTGTAAACAAAGTGCATTTCAAAGTCTATTTCCACTACATATGAAAGCGATGACGATGTTCACCACAGAAATAGCATTCGTTTTGACGAAAATTCAGACTTAGCTTTGCTAGGAACTTGGAAGCTGCTTGATGGCACCGTTGCATCGTCATTTAGTTTATGTAAATACTTCCATTGCCCACTGATGCGGAGGGCAGTGCCTGTTTAAGACAAGCTCTATCTCAGTCTATAAACACTCTTATGTTTGACACTTTTCAAGTCAACTGATGATAAGGTTTAAAAGGCTTTTGCCAGAATCTGACTGCACTTTTGGATTCAGCACCCCCAGCAGTAAATTGGAAAGGTCAAAACCCAGGTCATCCGCAGTTGACCCGCCTTTGTGCACAACCAGTATTTTGATGGATTGAAGTATTTTTCTAGAGATGTCTCTGAGAGACCGCCCACGGAAAGTTTCGCAGAGAAATGCAGTCGAGCCGCTGTCCGATATTTCTTTGCCATCATTCGCCAACGTCGCTCACAGTCACTCGGTGTTGTTGCCGTCTCTCCACCAACACTTTTTTACCATTTTATCCTCTGTTTGAAGGGTTTCGGTCCTCCACCGCCCATCTCTCGACTTGACTTGTCTGGTCACTGGACGCGACCCACCAGCGATAGCCCCCTACACGCCTCGTGCACTCGTTTCTCCCCTTGGCACCACTTTAAGTACAAATTCTATCATCATCTCTCGTCGACGTCGCCACTCGGTCTTGTCATCTCGCCATCAACACAGACCATTCTCTACCGTTCTGTCGATTTACTGATTTTGGCTTTTGGGTTCTTGGACCGAACTGTCTTTCTACAAAAGCATGAGCATCGCTGATCTTCTGAATGCTGCTGAATATTTGGAAAGAAGAGAACGAGGTAGGTGGAACGCGCCCTTGTATGCGTCATTTCGTAGGTTGATCAACACCCTTTAACCTGTCCAACAGAAGCTGAACATGGTTACGCAACGCCGTTGCAACACGATCTTAACAGACGTCGATCTAAATCGAAGAAATCACAAGGAAGTCGGTAAGGGCAAATCACCATTGTTTATGATATCAATCGCCTAATTGCGCCTTAAACTTTCGACCAAGCCCGAGTTTTCCTTTATCCTGCCTGTTCGGTTTTAATTATCGACAGCTTTATTTTCCCCCTTATCATGCGTTGCTTTACCTTAGCCTGTCGTAGAGCTGATCTTTATGTCATATGGTCGAGCAAGAGGGCTTTGTGATGCACCAACTTTTGGAGTCACAAGCACAACTTGTGCTCTATCTGCACCGAGAGTATCCTCTCTCTCCCCAGCCTTCTCTTTGCTCTCCATTTGCGGCGACAGCGGCAGCGGCGGTGGCGGCTCACGTAGTGCAGGCAGGCAGGCAGGCTCTCTCCGCCTTCATCCACTCTGAGTCAGCCTAGTGCAAGTCTTTCATCTTCTTGCTGCTGCTGCTGCTGCCGCTGCTCCTGCTGCTGTTGTTGCCGCTCAGTCTGCCATCATTGCGCGCACAAGACTAGGCATTTGTTGCCCATGCAATCGTACATTGCCATCAAACGGCGCAGCAGCAGCAGTAGAGGCAGCGAGTTTGCTTTGCTTTGCCACCCTCCTTTCATTCAGTTCGCCTGGCGGTGACCCGACAACAATCGACCCAACAGGAAGGTGGCTGACTGGCCTTTGTGTGCGCCAACTACAATCATGCTGATGATGACGATGGCGATGGACACTCGCTTTCGAGAAAGGAGAACTGTGGCGCACAGGTTTAGGAGACACGGTTCACAGGCAGGAACGCGCGCGCGCGCTTCTTTAGCGCGCGCACTGCAGTCCAAAGACAGGAACATTCGTCATGAGTGCCTGTAAATCGAACCATACTTTACACTTAGGCGGGCGCACTGCACCTTGCCTCTCTTCAGGAGGCATATGCAGAGGCATCTTCTCTTGCCATTGCGCAAGACTCGGTTAACCGAGTATTGACCCCCTTCTCCGGTGTCAGGCAAGGAAAACTAGAAAGGCTATTCTCGCTCAAATTTTTATTGCAGCAGTTTGATAGTTTTTGTGCTAAAACTTGCTAATTTTATTTTACTTTTCTTTCTCAGCACGACACACAACGAACTAGAAAAGAACAGGTAATGTCGATCTAGTTGGTCAATCGAACAAAATTACTAATTCACAAAATCACTTCTTGCAGGCGTGCTCATTTGCGCAACTGTTTAGAGAAACTCAAGGAGATTGTTCCTCTTGGACCAGAGTCCAATAGACACACGACTCTGGGTTTGCTTACGAAAGCCAAAGCATTCATCAAGGTAAGCACAGTACTGACCACAGCACAAATGTTATTAGTTTTAGTAATCAATTTTGATTTACACAGAATCTTGAAGATAAAGATAAAAAGCATCAGACTACAAAAGATCAGCTTCTGAGAGAACAAAAGTACCTGCGTGAACGCCTTGATCAGCTGAACGATGGAACCTTCCTTGCGCATCCGATACACAAGCGGCGAAGTATTAGCGAATGTAGCTCTGGAGTCTCTTCCAGCTCTTCCAACTCGGAGCCGGAAACTTCGGAAACTAACGACCCCTTCGACAGCCCTGGAATTGACAATGGTATGTGTGTCTCATTTCGCTGTCAGAAAGGTACTAACCGGCGATACTTGGTTCCCGTGTTTAGCTGCGCGATTGCTCCACTCCTTTGCAAACTTCAAGATGCAGATCGAGCAGGACAACAGTTGGCCAATGGACAGTGAGGCCATTTCCAGCAGCTACTAGCTTGGTCAATTTAATACACCCACCACCACCACCGTTTGCTTTAGCGTCCATCTCGCTACTGTCAACAATAAACCCGAAATAATAATTTATACATTAACAACAATTCACTGCCGAAGTAACTTCGGTATTGAATCAAATTAATTTAAATTCAACTCGTAGCTTCTCCCTGCGTTCTCACTTTCCTTCCTCTTTCTCTTTCTCTCTCTCTTTCTCATTCTCTCTCCCGTGTAAAAGTGCATGTTTTACACTTTATTTATTATTTATTTGACCTATCCTATTCTTATCAACTATCCTTCACCTCTCTTCTCTTCTTTTTATTACCCACTTCTCACTTTGTCAATGAACACCACGTTTATAATATTACTTTTAAATTTTGTCGTACCTCAATTCGACTCATCTCGACTCGATCGACTCATGGTACAAATCTTCAAGAATGAAAAGTTCTTTTAATAATTTATGTTTGTTTTGTCTGGTTTTAATTTTATGTATCTTTTGTTTTAAATAAATGGATGTTTGTTGACAATTGTCTCTCCATTCGGCACTACCCTCAGTACCCGATTTGGCTTTTTCCCCACTCCATTGCTGCAGCCTGCCTGCGCATTCTCTCGGTGGTCAGTTCTGCTGGTGGTGAGCCGGTCTGCGGNTGACAATTCTCTCTCCATTCGGCACTACCCTCAGTACCCGATTTGGCTTTCTCCCCACTCCATTGCTGCAGTCTGCCTGCGCATTCTCTCGGTGGTCAGTTCTGCTGGTGGTGAGCCGGTCTGCGGCGGTCTGTCCCTCTGCCAGTGTCTTGGGCTTTTCCTTCGCATCCTCTCTCATCTCTGGTCGCATCACTCGAGCAACGAAAGATCCCCCTGACAGCGCCTGCGCAGCCTGTTAGGGTCGCGAATAAGAAGAAGAGAACAGTTTACAGATCCAACATGTAAACAAATTCAGTGCAGGACAATTCAGTGACTGCCAATCCGGCGAGACAGTGAACTCAATTGACCACAAGTTGTAGTCCTCTGCATGGCTTCCCACTTTCAGTCCACTTGGTGCTCACTTCGGTAGCGGCAAAATGGCCAATTTGCAAATGGCTGCGTCGCCCTCGGCGCCGCTGCCAAGCAACTGCATCGAAGTCGACGGCATCGAAGGTAATGCCACTATTCAAAAGAACCGCAATAGCTCACTGCGAAATGGTGGCTCCAATATTCGTGTCATCGTTTGCTTTCTGGATCTCTCTAACTCAATCTACCCCATACCGGTAAATGCCCCTTTTTGCAAAGCAAAATAAATTTATTTACCGCGATTTTCGACAGTGCAAAACCCTCGGAAAGACACTTTTCTACAATGTGTGCGACTCTCTAAATCTCATCGAAGTTGATTACTTTGGTTTGATGTATTTTGATTCGAAAAACAATCAGGTAGTTTAACAGATAATTTTGAAGAGACTATTCACAGCCTTTGTTTGGCAGTACTGGCTGGACCATGAAAAGCCGTTAACTAATCAATTGGAGCTGAATGGAAAAAACAACGTTACAATGCATTTTGCAGTGAAATTCTACACTATCGAGCCTTCAAAGCTTGAAGATGAACTGACAAGGTTTTTGCCAATCCACCATCTTTCTCTGGAGCAGTCCAACTAACAGCAATTAAATTTGCAGGTACCTTTTTGCACTTCAAGTTAAAAAGGACTTGGCAGACGGAAGTTTAATTTGCAGTGAAAATGTGACTGCCATGCTCTGTGCTTTCACCGTTCAAGGTATTTTTGTTTCCAATTTTATTTGATCTGTAATCATTGACACCTTTTTCGCAGCCGAGTGCGGTGATTACAACAGTGAATACCCGAATCATTTTTACATTTCCCGCCTCAAGCTAATACCTCAACAAGATGCCGAGTTTGAGCTAAAAGTTTTCGCCAACCATCAAAAGTTAATGTAAGATTTGTTCTAATTTATCAAACAGCATCACCGTTTTAAATAATTTAAAATTACAGAGGTCTTTCTCCTGCTGAAGCTGATATGCAATTGCTGGAACTGGCATCTAGTCAGGAAATGTACGGCATACATCTATCTCCTGTTAAAGATCACGAAGGAGTGCCCCTTAACTTGGCGGTAATTCATCACGGCATACTGATTTTTCAAAACTACACCAAAGTAAGTGATAGCATAATTTTTAAATTTTACTTGACTATCAATCTGTATCATTAGGTAAACACATTTGACTGGG